GTCTGAAGCTTCATAGCCAACCCTGATATTGAACAATTTTAAGTGTTCAACTTTAGTGTTAAACACTTTAATGAATTCAAATACCCAAATACCCCCACACTTGAAAGAGTGCAACATAGTGTTGATCACGTGCATGTGCACGCCAGCTCAACACTTTCTTTATCAGTGAAATGCTTCGAAATTGCGAAAGATTTTGCATTTTGCTTCACAAGGTTTTCCCAGTGCACTGTTCGAAACGTGCGACTCTACGATAAGGCAACTAACACTTCTCAGCTCCGCCCCTCGCCCCACATTGATGGGTCGGGGGCGGGGCCGGCGGGCCGAGCCGCCGCGGCCTGATGATAGTGTTCGAGGGAAGTGGCCATCGTCGCCGTGTCGCCCTTGGCTTGAAGCCCTTGACCCGCCCCGGCTGGGGTGTGAACCTCTGCAGCTGCCGTACCTCGCGCCCAAAAGTCCAGTTCTCGTCTGTGTCGAAGTGTATCGAAGAGCCCAAAGACAAACTGACGTAAATTTTCCCCCCTCGTTCTTCACCGGCAACACCGCGTCCACTTTGGTGTTGGAGAGACCGAGTATTTTTGCCTCCAGCTCGATCTCCAGTTATTTCCCCAGATTCATTCGGTAAAATACGGGGGCTCAGCGCCTGCGAGATTCGGGGTAGGCCAGCCCGCTGTACACGCATGCACCGCATACAAGATGGTGCCTATATATCAGGCGCTATGAGAGCTTCATTGTGGCTAAACATGGCAGTTTCGTACCAGCTAGTGACGGGCGTACTTTCTAGATCATACCATCACAATAAGGGTGGTACTTAAGTTAAAAGATTTCAATCACAATTATCTAAGGTACCTAGAGCAACGCGTAGAGCAAGTTCAAAAATTTCCTGTCAAAAGTCCCAAAAAGTTTGCGCGCAAGATTTCTTCATCACCAGATGAGGTAGACGCATGAGGGATTAAATTAATGATCTCTTCAATACCTGTGAAATGACACAAAAATTAGGTCAAATTCAATCTAGTATAGAAGAGAAAAAATCTTGTAGGTAAAATGATTTTTATACATTTCCGTAAATCTAAAAATAGTTAACTTTTACAGTTTTGCTCAGACACTCAAAAAAACAAAGATGCTAAGTCGTGTCTTTCCAGGGGTGCTACTGAAAATTTTATTTTAGTATCCCTACAAAGGCCCTAAAGAGCTCTAAAGGTGCGAAAATTTTATTTGTTCCTTTGGCAGTTTTACTCTGAAACCCAAAAGCATGCATTGCATGCTTTATATACAGTATGCATAGTATGCACACTGTATCTAACACATGCATTGAGATGCATGCTATGTACGTACGTATCTATGCATTGAGATGCGCTGTACCAACAACTCGTTTTCGTAGAATTTTAACTAAGTGAGC